ATCAATCGAGACAAATGAAGTGATTGAGGTATGTTAAAGCCTACCCAGGGAAATACTCTATTGGAAGCTTTGAACGAAAACAATAACGAGAAGATACTAAAAGGAGTTTGGTGACCAAATATAGTATAAAGGAACAACGGAAGGGTAGTAGAAGTAATGAAGCAAGGAGAACACCATTGGACGATACAGAAACAAAATGGTGGTTGTTGACCGGGCAATGAATGCGTGAAGGAAGATAGTTGGGACGTGGTTAAACACCATCATGAGTAGAAGTCATGGGTGTCATCTATCAAGTCTACCTAGAGAAAGCTCCTAGTGGAAATGTTGGCTCTGGGGTATGGCGAAGAGTTACTAAACTGAGTAGATCAAAGCTAGTACCAAGCATCGATTGAGGAGTTGTGGAAGTAAGGAGGAAACCAAAAGCTATAATGAAAGTTATGGTGAAAAGGGTGGTAGTTGATAAAACGACAAATTTAGGGAGAAAGATAGTTAAGAAGAGCCGGCGAAAGAATACGAAGGTCAACAAGGAGGCATTAAGGTGATTGCCAGTGGAGAATAAGTTGGACCATAGGAAGCCCATCAAGAACTGAGAAGCTCAATGGTCAACTTTAAAGTAGAAGTGTGGTGGTCCAGAACGGTCGAAGGGAAAACCTTTTGGTCAAGGTACATAAGTGAGAAGAGAAAATGGGCACCAAAATGACTACATCGAGGACAAGGGACATATAGAACTAGCGAGAAACATCGGTAAGAGGAGTCACGAGTAAAGAAGTAAGATGGATATGTGTTTAGCGAACCTGCTAGGATACCCTAAAGTGAAAGCAATACCACCTATGAGGGTGAAATGTGGCGATCTCTCGGGTGAAAATTTCTTGGACCAGGAAACTGTACGAGGAATTTCAGGCAAGGTCAAAGAACAATAGAAGAGATCATACAAGAACTCCCAAGTTAAACGGTGATAAGGAAGTGTTAAGTTAGGCGCCATGAGTGAAAAAGTACTCAAAATGGAAGGTCATGATTCTGGAAAGAAGTCATAAAGTTGATCGCAAGCTAGAGAGAAATGCAAAGGATGTCTCTAATGCATACAGGAAGTAAAAGCAGTAGTATGAGGTCTTGGCGCTAAGCAACAAGTAACAAGGAGATGACCATTCAGTCGATGGCTAAAGGGAGAGACAAAGAATCTTGGAAGAAAGTAAAGATTCAAAGTCAGAAGGTAGAAGGACCTAGGTGATCTAGGTGGTCAACCACAGATGAGGTTATGGTAAAAGAGTTTTGCGATATAACAAGATGGAGGTTAAGCCGCCATTAGTAACCTTTGGGTTGAAAGGGGTATTCAGAACGTCAATAGGGATGTGTAAGGGATTTTCTCATGCTAAAGAACCATATATGGTGAATCTGGCATCAGGTGTGCGTATCAAGTGGAGTTACCTAGAGGAGAAAAATGAGGTCTACAAAGGGGAGAAGAAGCGATACTAAGGATCTGGCATAGGTGTAGGTAATTAAGCAAACCAGGCACTCAGTACGTCAAATATTCACCATATAATTCTATGTCAGGAGATTCGAGGAGAGGCACATCAGTCAGCATATGGAGAACGGAGGCCAAGGCCTGAGTGCGTTATGAACTGAACCTACAATGGGTCATGTCCTGAATAGGGCTGGCTAAGAATTTATCTCATTGATGGTTCTTATGGAAATCCTAAGTAGAGACCCTAGACAAACCGTTGAGAATAATAATAATTAAGAAACCATTATAGTATCAATGGCGTTTATGAAGGGGGAGTGTCAGTTAAAAGTTTGGCCACACGAGTCAAAGTCTTTCGGAAATTTTTTAGAATCTCCAGTATACTCTAATCATGATAAGGAAATAACTTTAGGATGCCCTATGGGGTTATGATACGTCTTGGGAAGGGGAAGGAGCAGGCTTCTAGAGGGATCGTTTAGTGAAACCCCTTCATAAGCGAGAAGAGGAGGGTCAAGGTGTCTCATATTCTATGGGGATGTGAGCTGATCAGAATAAGGTTCTGGAAGGAGCCAAGCAGTTAGTACATCGACTGGTAGAGCCAAGGAGTTATGGCAAATGTCGCCATAATCGAGAGGAAAGGGTGCAAGGAAGGGTCGTGGATTTCAGGAGAATTGAACATAGGGCTACAACCCCAAGGAGCAACTGAAAGTTGGACTTTGCAAAATACTAGGGCCACCTAAGCAAGCAAAGGAAGAACTAAGTATATCATAGGGAGCCTAACAAGATGGCATGGGATCAATACATCAAGGCTAGAAGGAGGTACAACTCCTCGCAAAGAGATTATCACAAGTGAAACTTGGAGTCGTCAAACGAACAAATTTCGAGGTCAAAATTTTCTTAAGGAGGGGGAAGTGTGATGTCTCGATTTTGGATTTAGGTTCAACATCAACTACCAGGAGAATTGAATCAACATGACAAGCCGAATTGACATTTTGTTTCACCATGTTTGGATCAAGCTAGGAAGTAAAAAGGGCAGTGAGACACTTATGGTTACACGAGTGCTGCAAGCTAAGGAAACTTATTTGAGCAAAAGGTACCAACGAAGTGTTATAGTAAGAATAGATGATTATGGGAAGGAAGAAAAAGAAGGGTGTTGATGGAAGGACGAGTTCCGAGAAAATTTCGTGGACGAAATTTTTATAAGGGTGGAGGAAATGTAACACTCCGGTATTCTAGATTTGGGTTCGACCTTAACACGTGATCGGTTGGATTGACGGTTACGTACTAAGAGTTACAACCGCGATTTAGAACTAATAATAATAACTATTATTATTATTACTATAATTATAAAAAAAAAATTATATTTAGACCTAGAGGCCGAGCGGCCCTCAATTATTCCCAAAAACCCTCGCCCATCCCTTTCCTCTCCCCGTCACAAACCGCCGCCCAAACCCTCTCCCTTGCGCATGTCTCACCTGCTCAACAGTTCCAATCAAATTAGCTCCTGCAGCAGCTCTCGGCCAGGAGTGGAAAATGGGGTGCGCTTTGATTTATTGGACTAGGAGAGAAGCGTCAGCAGCAATGTCCTTGTGCCTAGCATCTCCATCATTGGGATCAGACAGGAGAAAGCGGAATTTGACCATCCTCATGCTCTCGGTTATAGGTTAAATCGAAGGCTTCCACCTTACAATTCAATCACTACACGTGCATGGGTTATTGCATTGGATGGAAGTCCATTAACATTTCTGGGAATGGTATACATGGATGGATGGAGTAGGTGATGTGGGGTATGACAAAAGAAGATGGAAAACGAGAAGTGATGGAGGAGGAAGTAAAATTGGATCAGTCAACTTGAACAACCAATTAGGTGAGTGTAAAGGGGGTAAATTCTACGCCTTACGTATTCTTTTATGTTTTATGATTTTAAGTATTTTAGTGAATTGGTTATCGTTGCTTGGTTATGTGTATGATTGATTAGTTGTGCTTTGCTTGAGTTACGGTTTGAGATGATTTTGTGTTATTTGAGGTGATTTTGTTTGAGTTGTGCTTGAAGTGAATGTTTATTAATTACTTTGAAATTTTTACGAGTATAAGTTATTATTAAAGAGTAAGAAACAAGGTCTTTTTAAGAAGTAACTCACCTTCAAGAAGGTGAAGTCGTTTTAAGTGTATTTAGTCACTAGCGTCAGTCCGTTGCCTTTTGAGACAGTTTGAGATAGAGCAGCAGTTATGCTCTTGAGATTTTTAAGATGGGCAGCAGTATGCCCTTGAGAATCGTGGTGAAGAGCCACCATGATAAGTTTAAGATGTTAGGGGGATGAATCGTTACGACTTCCCTAACTAAGTTTAAGTTTAAGGAAAGCCTGGATGGCTTCTCATACGTATGAGTTGGCAACCGGACTAGCTAGTGAGGGATCCCAGCGTCAGTCAATTATTTAAGTCGAGATTTGAGTTTAAGAGAGGAGAGTAACTTCAACTCCCTCAAAGTTTAAGAGTTAAGATTTTAAGATCGGAAGTACAAACAACTTCCACTAGTCAAAGTTAGGTGTTTAAGTAAAGTACTCAAGTATTAGAATTATTAAAACGTAAGGGCGTAGACTGACCCCATCTCACTCACCAGTTTGAAGAGGACTAAGAGGAGTTAGAGAGCAGCGAGTTCGAGTGAAGCTAGCTAGAGGAGGACGGTACGAGCGTCACAGAGGATGTCTAGTCAGAGTTTTTCACACAAGCAGCAACACTTGAGACTAGTTAGTTATTATGTTTTATGATTATGAGTACAGACTGGAGATTATCTTGAGATCAGGTTGAGATTTTAAAGTTTGAGTTTAATTTGCCTACGTGTTAGGGCTTTGCTTCGAACTTCAAGTGTGTTTTCAGTATTTTTATTTATGTTAAATTTTTCCCGCTGAAACTTAAGGTTTGAGTATTTTATTTATCAAGGGCATTTTAGTAAAAGTAGTACCCGGCCGGGTTAGGGTGTTACAAGCCTTCTCACAAAAGAGGAGGTTGGCGGACAGCTATCAACGCGCCATTGTTGTGTGGGAAAGGGTCGAAGCTCTCTTGAGAAGAAGATGAGCGAACATGCTGTTGTTAGTATCAGATCGAGCGAACATACAGCTCGCTTGGGAAGAAAATCGTTGCAATGGCGGCGGGTTGGATCGATGTCGGAGATGGGGAAGGAGACAAAAGGTCGGTCACCAAGGGAGGGTTTCTCGGTTGCCAGAGGGAAGGGGAAAGAGCTTCGATTGTCGAAGGGAAAGGGGAAAGGACATCGGAACCTCAAGCTTGATAGGATAGGTAGACAGAAATAATTAAAATAAATAATAAATGATATTGTATTATTTATTTGCTGACTAAGCAACTTTGCAGAAGCCAAGTCAGCGCTCTGTTAAGTTTTTGGATGAGAATAGACGGAAATGACTATTTCGTTACAAGTACAAAGTTGTGTTACCGAATCGTGCAAAATGAAAGGTTTATGACCGTTTTGTACAAAGTGTATAGGTTTGTGACTATTTTTGATAACTACCCTAGTTCTCTCTTAATTAATTATGTTTTCACACATAATTAATTCCTGTCTCTCTAATTCATTTGCCTGTACGGAGGTGAGGACATGGACTGGATCATGAAATTCACCACAACAGCACAAGCAGTAGCTCGAGCAGCAGGAATCACCATTAGAACCCTAGCGAAGTCCTTCCGCCGTGAATCCACCACAAGGAAATCGATTCCGGCCAGCCCCGCATCACCTCCTCCGGCTCCTCGACCACAACCTCACCGCCCGCCGGGACATCAATTGAATTCCCACCGCCATCCGCCGCCACCGTCGCCGCCTGACGCAGGGCTCGCAAGTACTCCGATCTGGAATCCTCATCCGGTACCACGCAGACGTGGCGCCCGCCGGAGTGACGGCTGGCGACCGCGAGCCCGATGCTGGTCGCCACCGGCCCGCCGTGGGAATGAAGGAGCTAGCTAGCTGTACCGTTTTCAATGCAGCTCTGGTGAAAGGCGACGATTGCTTGGGCTTGTGAATGATGAAAGACGCCATAATTGCTGCCAATTTCGACTGCGGAAGACACAAACAATGGGGAAAGAAGAAAACTCAAAAAATTGAACGAGAAATTGTAATTTCTTGCCGGAGAAGCCCTTGACAAATTTTACCTCGTCTTATCCGACGAAGACGGCCGCGTGCCTCACCGCATCTTTGAAATCTTCGTTCTTGTCCCTGATTCTCGCCATTACTTTACCTATCAAACTCCACCGGAAAAGTCTGGCTTCTAGGCAACTTGGTCGGCGGCCGCACGGAGAACGCTGGCGATTCGCCTCAGATCTGGCGGCGGGAAATTGAGCACCGCCATGCTGGGAGAAAGACAACCGTCGCCGGAGAATGGAATATAGATCTGGGACTGGGAGCAATTTATGTTGAAGAGGAAGAGAGCGCATGAGCCGAGAAAGTCAGTTAATTTAATTTTTATTTTATTAATTTTGGGTCAATGTGACCCTTCTACCCTTGTTGTTATTATAACAACACATTCAGTGTTGTTATTGTATCCCATCCCATGAATAAAGGAAAACAAGTTGGATATAAAATAAAAAAATAAACAATTGAATTATTAAACAAGCTGGGCGGGTGGGCAATTAAAAAACCTAATTAGGTTTCTCTCCATCTCTGTTCCAACTCGATATTCTCTCAAAGTTCTCGATTACTAGGGTTCAAAAAGGGGATTTCCCCCGGAATCCTCCTTCCTCCCTCATCTCCGCGTTCATCCTCTCCGGTGAAGTCAAGTTCGTCATCTTCCCCTTTGGTCCCGTTGTCACGATCACAAAAATTTCCTTCTAACCTCTCTCTGTCGCCTGCTCAACCTCAGCCCAACAATCAGCCTTCTATCACTGGTCAGTTCCCCTGTTCGCTTGTCCCGCTCTCTTTAGTGGGTTTTTATGGGGTTACTAGTAATGAATTGCATATTTGAGATTGAGATTATAGTATACGCTAAGTGAGCCATTAAACTTTTGTATTGTTGATTAGTTGCTTGTGGTTTGCATATTTTGACATTTTGCATAGTGGAATTTTGCCCCTGTTCTTTTGGATTGTGGATTTGGGGTGTACATATTAGGAAGCTTTTGTGTTGTGTTAGTGGGCATGTGTCCGCAATCTTGGTTCCAACTTGTTGGGAAACTACATCTGCTTGTTCCGTCAATGAGTTTCTCATTTTTGTGTACATTCTGCCTTCCTACTTCAAGTAAGAGGATGCTTTATGGACAACTAATGTTTTCTTGAGTAGTATGCTTGATATTGCCTTAACGGGCTTAAAGAACAATTATGAATGCATAGTTAACTAAACATACCCTATATTGACAACTCATGGCAGAGCTAGCCATGTGGTTTTTGTTTTTGTTTCTGCGGATGGGGTTATGGACTTGCTTTTCCATTATTTTGTTGTTAAGATACTGCTTGATTGTAGAGCCTTTAATTCAGTCAATTGAATACCCTTATTAGCTTGCATGATTCAATGAACGGTCGACAGCCATTTTCAGGTGGAAAGAAAAGACAAATAGAACAATCACTGCTATCATTTTCAAGATGAAAGACGTACAGTTAATGCAACAAACAATAACGAAGGGAATGGAGGAGATGGAAGGATTGATCCGCTAACTGAATCATGGGTGATGACATAGTTTATAAGAAATGGGAGGATTTGCTGAAAGAAGACTGGTTAAAGACTGATATAAAAGATACTAGAGTATCTCCTGCCGACTGGGAATAGCTGCTGAACTTTTGGAAAAGTGACAATGTTGTGGTATGGCTTCTGTTACTTTGTCATATCACTTCTAGTTTACTTTAATCATCTTCTTTTTAGGTAGAAATATGCTTAGTTGCATAATGGTTGATTAACCATTGAAGTGTGTTGATATGACTTGAATCGGACTATCAGCCGCTACGACTGGTAATCGGGGGTCTCGCTGCCCGGTCAGCGAGTGGGGTCCAGGGGCAACGCCCCCGGCCCACGGTGTATGGGCTCAATGTTATTTGGGTTCGGGTTCTGGGCCTGGTCTGTAACCGTTTCCTTTACCAGATTGGATTAGGTTTAGACCCACATGGAGAAGTACTATAAATACTTCTCATACTCCTCTGTAATCTGTAATCTCCTTGATATAGTGAAACGACTCTCTCTCGCCCGTGGACGTAGCTAACACACATCGTGTTAGTGAACCACGTAAATCGTGTGTCGTGTTTTTCGATTCTTGCTTTCGTATTCTTGCTTTGTCGATTCCGGCGATTTCCCGATCCGTAGCAGCGCGTTTTATAACAAAGTGTGTTTCAGAGGTTTCGTTCTCACCTGTTTGTTTATACTGTTGTGGGTTTAGTTTGAATGATGTAATTCTAATTTTTAGAGGCACAAAAGTATTTGACCTGTGAGCTTTGATTGAACTCGTTTAGTTTCATGTCAACTATTACATTCGGTATAAAGACTAACAAATTGGGTTAGCTGGCTGGATATAGTTATATACATCAAGGTGTTTACTGGTCAAAGGTTTAAGGTAGCATTATGTATATTTAGATCATCACACCTGCATGCAGTGCTAGACCTTTGCCTTGCTATTAGATTCTCAAATCCAACTTTGGTCTGAGTGGAGACACATTAAGTAATTTTCTTGTAACTAAACGATGCAGTATAGAATTTGATTTCATCTCAAGAAAATGAGTTTGACAATAGTGATGGTGGATCTACTCAGTCAAACCCTTGTAGTGGGGTAATATATATTATCTTTTTTATTGATTTTCTTTGTTTGGTAATTTGTTTTTGGTATCCTACACTAATACCATAATTAATATTCTCTAATATAGGGATTAATATATGAGTTATGGAGTCCTCACATTGATGTAGCTAGAGCAAGTGTGTGGTAGCACAAAGTATTGCCTCGTCATCTACCTTTGTATGTTAATTCCTCTATTATGGTTTGATTCATCGTTACAGTTTTTGTCAAATATTATGCTAAGTTAAATTCCAATCTTGTTTCCAGTACAGGTTGAACCAGTTAGAATACTTCTCGAATTCTCGTGCACAAATGTTGGTGATAAAGTTCAACTTAAGTATGGGCGTTATGGTATTGGTGGATAGTATATAGATTATAGTATATTAGCAAGTGAGAACATTGGATTTTAGCATTGTTATTCTCTTTTCATATTTATCATTGTTATTTGGTTGAACGGTTTGTAAGAAGATTTATGTTTATAGTAATTAATTACGATTTTGCTTTCATGTGATTCTTTTATTTAAATATCATAATTGTTAAGATATTGCCACATAATTTAATATTTACTATAAGAGCCTCCCATCATACGTGACGAAAACAAATCCTAATTGCCAACCAATATTTGTGTCTCTAAAGATTAGAATTACAAGCAAATACATTTGTCGTAGAAATAAGAATTAGAGTCTATTAATATGCCTCTAAAACAGAAAACTGTTATGTAAAGGTTAAATTAGCGACAAAAGATTATATATCCATTAGAGGCACATAGATTGTATCTACGGATTGATTTCAAGGCTAGTACAATTGTCTCCAAAACATATTATGGAAGACAATAAAATAGTAATTTAAAAGTACAACTGGCAACAAAACTATTTGTCAGTAATTCATAAATTAGAGACAAATAATATTTGCCGCTAACATATGCCGCTAAAGACATTTAGCGGCAGCAGTATTGACAGCACACAATTATGTGCCGCTACAAAGATATCGTGGCACATAAATCACTTATCGTGGCAAATAGACTTAGCCTCTAATTGTCATTTTTCTAATAGTGGCAGCAGCCGAGTTGGGAACAATAATAGAAGGGAGAATAAGATTTTCAACCCGAGAGCCTCAACCTCTCCTTGGAGTAGTCCTGTTCACATCGAACGGGGAAACCAAGTAAATCGTGTGTCGTCTATTTTTGCTTCCTTGCCGTTCATTGACTCGTCTTCACCTGAGCAGCCTACTCTCCGCCGCGGCGACCGAGTGCGCCGCCCTTCCACTCCCCTAGCTGGCTATGATGTCGAGCTGCCTGGCGCAGCTCACTCCGCCACGATGTTATACCCCCTGGACGATTATCTCAGTTATGATCGTCTTCAGTAGCTCACCATACCTACGTTGCTGCAGTTACTGGCGTCGATGAGCCCAATTATTTTTTGCAGGCTGTTCGTTATAAGCAATGGCGAGATGCCATGCAGGTCGAGATTTATGCTTTAGAAGCCAATGGCACAAGAAAGCTATTGATTGTAAATGGCTCTGCAAAATCAAATTCAATCCGAATGGCTCCATTGAGCTCTAAAAGGCGCTTCTCGTTGCTAAGGGCTTCACTCAAGTCGAAGGGGTTGATTACCACGACACCTATGCTCCAGTTGCTAAGCTGGTCACTGTCCCCTGCCTTCTCACCATTGCTTTGCACATAGGATGGCACATTCATCAACTCGACGTCAATAATGCCTTTCTTCATGGTGATTTGGAAGAAGAGGTTTATATGAAAATTCCGCAAGGCTTCTCGCGTCCTGGTGAGACCAGAGTATGTCGCCTCAATAAGTCTCTCTATGGTTTGCGACAAGCTTCCCGGAATCGGTATCAGAAGTTTACACAAGCATTAGTCGAGCTCAAATTTGTGCAGAGTCGGGCTGATCATGCCTTGTTTATCTATTGGCGAGGCTCCAGCTTTGTTGTGGCCCTCATTTAAGTCGATGATGTGGTTATTACTAGGAATGATCTCTCATTTACTCAGCAAGTTAAGACCTTTCTCCACGATCGCTTCACTATCAAGGATCTGGGTCCCCTCAAGTGTTTCCTTGGTATTGAGGTTGCGCGATCGCCTAAGGGTATGGTTCTTAATCAGAGGAAGTACGTATAAGACATTCTCACAGATGCTGGTTTGATCGCAGCTCGTCCGTGCTCCACTCTGATCGAGCAGCAACATCACCTAGGTCGTGATCATTCTCCCCCAGCGCGTGATCCTGTAGCGTATCGGCGTCTGGTTGGCCTTCTGTTGTATTTGAGGGTAACACGCCCTGATATTGTTTATTTTGTCAACCTTCTTAGCCAGGCAATGCAGTCCCCAACTCAGGCACACGAAGACGCCGCAGTTCGAGTCCTTCGGTATATGAAAGTTTCTCCAGGTCGTGGCATTTTTCTATCTGCCATCTCTCCTCTTACGTTGATTGGTTTTTGTGATGCAGATTGAGATGGTTGTCCCACAACCCGCCGTTCCATGACAGAGTTCTTTATCACTCTTGGGGGTTCTCCCATTTCTTAGCGAACCAAGAAACAGATTGTGGTAGCGTGTTCTTCCGCATAGGCAGAATACTGAGCTATGTCCAGTGCTGTCAGTGAGATCATCTGGTTGCGGTGACTTCT